AAGTGCCTCGCGACTGGCGCCTACTGCATGCTCGACATCCATAACTTTGCGCGATGGAACGGCGGTATCATCGGTCAGGGAGGACCGACAGACGACCAGTTCGTGTCTCTTTGGACGCAGCTGGCGACGAAGTACAAGGACAACGAGAAGGTCGTCTTCGAGCTCATGAACGAGCCCCACGACCTCGACGTCAAGATCTGGGCGGCGACTTGCCAGAAGGTCGTCACGGCGATTCGCGGCGCCGGCGCGACGAAGCAGATGATCCTGCTGCCCGGCACCAACTTCAACTCGGCCGAGTTCCTCGTCAGCAGCGGCAGCGCGGATGCGTTGACGGCCATCACGAACCCCGACGGGACTACCGACAACCTGATCATTGACGTGCACAAGTACCTGGACGAGGACAACAGCGGCACGCACAAGCCGTGCACGACGGATAATGTGGAGAGTTTCAGGACTGTTGCTGAGTATCTGCGGTCCAACGGCCGCAAGGGGCTGGTCAGCGAGACAGGAGCGTCGAGTGATTCTTCGGTAAGTTTCAGATATTGCTCCCGTATGATCGACGCAACCGAGAGCATAGGGCTGACGGACATCAGTGCTTCACGGCCTTCTGCGCGCAAAACACCTTCATTAACCAGAACTCAGATGTGTTCATTGGCCTCGTCGGGTGGGCCGCCGGCAGCTTCGGCACCGACTATGTCCTCAGCTTGACGCCGAAGAAGTCCGGCAACAGCTACACGGACAACGACCTCATGAAGCAGTGCGTCCTTGCGACGTGGAATACCGAGCTGAACGTGACCACGCCCGTCTCGGCCCAGCCTTCAAAGCCGGCAGCCTCCGCGAAGCCGAGTGCGGCCCCGAGTTCAGTGCCCGCGTCCGTCCCCATCTCCGCTCCGGACTCAGCGCCTACCTCGGCTCCCACCGCGGCGCCGGTCACCAGTGATGATGGCTCGGCTATCCTGCCCCCGACCACCGTCATGACTGTGCCGACGACTTTGTTGATTGACACGTCGACCCCGACACCGCCGGCTCCCACTGGGGCTCGTGGCCGTAATGGGACCGCTACGACGAGCACGCCGTCTCTGCCTACAGCGGCCGGCGCTCGGGTTGAGGCTGTGGGAAGCCTGGTTGGCTTCGGTTTGGCGGTGGCAATGATGTTGTAAAGATACCAAGTTTTAAAAATATTCAAACTATTGTTATTATTTTTTGATTACAATGATTCCAGGCGCGCAGATGCGGTGTACTTCTTCGTCGGCGTCAAATTCGACATCAAACATAAGCGAGGCAAGATTTGCCAATGTTCACATTGCTCTGATGAGAAGAAAGTCTTTCCGTCGACTAGGAGACAAAGATCATGATGCGAGCAGCGGATACGAGTGAAAGGGTCTGTTGGGTATATTGCAACTACTTGAAAACTGCTCCAGGAATCTCTACCGCAGACCTCTTGTTACAGTTTTATGGGTCTCTATACGTTGTCCGCCATCACCCATCAAGCAGAGAAAGTAAAGAGGAGGTCATCTCCTGTCCACGAGTTTGTCACCTCTACCTTGAGAAGCTTCTTGTTGATGTCGAAGTCCGCAATGGCGCCCGTGATGGAGGAGGCAAAGATGGTCTTTCCAAGCCTGGCCCAGCATGCCTGCTGAGCGCTGCCACCATCCGTAGCCGACACCTCGAAACTTCCTCTGGGGCCCTTGTTCAACTCCGTGCGGCAGTCCGCGAGGGCTTTGTTCATGTCGTCGTTTTGGATCCAGGTGCCCGCCACTTCCTTCAGCTCGGCTGGCTGAAGGGATGTCAGCGTCCAGCACTCCTTGAGGACCTCGCGCATCTTGAGGCGCGGCTTGGTGGTGTCGAACGCGTTCTGGGCGTTGTGGACGGTCAGGCGCTTGGCCGTGGTGTCGATCTCCACGTAGTCGAGGTTCTTGCGGTCGCCGTCATCGTCGAACTCGGCGTAGCCGTCGCCGTAAACGGCAAAGTCCCACACCTGGCCACCTCGCGATTTTGTGACGTCCGCCCAGTAGGCATTGTTGTTCTGTGTTTTTGTTAGCGACTAGTTGTCGATCAGGGCTGATGGGTACTCACGGCGAATGGACGGATAACTGCCGCGGAGGTCAGCGGGATGACCGCGAGCAGATAAGCGCAAAGGTGTTGGAAAAGCATATTGAGCTAAAAGATTGAATGTGGTCAGATATTAGGTGGTAGCTGCGCGCGAGCTGCTTGAAGGCAAAAAGAAATGAGTGACTAGTGCTTGGGGTATCGAGATAACTCTAAAATGCGAACTGAGTCCAAGTGTTATATACTGGCTGATCACCATCTATGACATACTCCACGGATGGCATGAGTTGCCAACCGTACAAGCAATTTCTTTAAAGTCGCCATCCGCTGAAGCAGGGTGTCCTGTTAGGCAGAACCCTTGATACCTGGTTAGTTTTCCCTAACTTAGCCTTCTTAGGCCAAGAGCACTATGCAGTATATCCAGTTAGAATGTCTCTTAGGGGTAATGCGGGGGGTGTGTGGATTTGGAACACAACCAGAATGCCCTGTACTGATTTTAGAACATGGGGAGACGGCCCCGCCGAAGTCAATTCATGCTCCCGACTCAATAGGAGGTTAGTGACAGGTTTGTGACTCAGGGAATCAGATGGGGACATCTTTACACATCGTATGCAGCTTTGACCCTCGAACGGATTCTGTGAAGTAGAGTCGGGATAGATGCGGAAATTCTCGCACCATTTCTGCTTGGCCCAATCCTCTTGCGAAGAATAACAGGCAGTGTGAAAGTCGAAGAAGAATTTTGGTCCACGTACGTACGACTGGAGTCATGATCGATGACATTCTAAATCTGGGACAGCTGAAGTGGAATGCAATTTAAGGCGGATCCCCGCCCAGAGAGAGGATGGGATGAATTCTTGCAACTGACAGCTTAAACTTTGCTAAGAAAACCCACTGATCCCATTGCCAGGATATGCGTGTATTCAGTCGCTCTCTCTCCCTGTGAGTGTTGCGCTGCGCCAACACCGGGACCTTCAGAGAGTCTGTGCACCAAGAGCCATGACAAGTGGCTAAAGACTAGTTCCCGTTCGTCCCGGGACATGTCAAGTCAGTACCCGATGAATCCCCAGTATTCTGGCGTGCCGAATACCGTAGTTGTCTGTCCGATATAAAAAGAGCGTCTTATTTAGCTGAATCTTATGTCAGGGCTGAGGGTAAAGCGTCAAGTTCGACCGTGCGCAGATTTGGTGGCGTATACTCTTTTCTTCGGTCTCGGTTTCGCGATATTATTAGCTGCGATCTTGGTAAAAATTTCGAGAAAGGCAACAAAATTCTAAGGCTTCGATTCGACCCGACGTAAGAGGCGTAAGTCTCCCAACTGCAGGTAGTATCTTCAACACACTGTACGACAACGGGCCAAGTAGTTCCTTCAACACAAGGGCTGCAAATTGATGATAAGACGGAACATAGACGGAAGAAACAGCAGGTTCAGAAGAACTCCAAGCGGGTTGAAATTCCGTTCTTTCACCTATCCTGCGATGAAGATACTCGTATTCCCCCGCTTATTTTCTATCGCGCAATCTTTTGGCAGCGGGTGATCCCGTTGACCTGCCGCTATTCCCAAACAGCACCCTTGAAGGGCGGTTGATCCATATCTAGGTGGGGTTCATGATCCAGCCCTACAAATGACAAGTCAACAGACGGCATTCCGAGATAGTGCGAAACTTCTAGCGATAATATCTATCAATGAGTTGCGGCTGAAGTTCATATCGTGGCTTTGGAAACAGCGTCGGAAATCGGCAGGCTATCTAGCGGTTGCCAAGAAGTTCTCAAGCTTCTATCCCCTTAACCCTAATAATTCAGATGTGAATACATTATGCAAGAAACATGAATCCGAAGTCGACGTCTTCCTCCATGCCCAGAAAGAATTGATAAAAGCTTCTTATCGAATTCCTTTCGTGGCTTTTTGAGCACATGGCATACATTTTCGTTGCATTGTGAGTCGTATGAAAAGGTGCAAGAGCGAAGAAAACCTGCATTTGTCTATTGCAAATCACTTGCTCCGTTGTGTTTCTTGCGGCATCCAGCTGTATGCCTACTTGCCAATGAGTGGATCCTGGAGAAATGCCGTGCTTTCATCTGGAAGGTGCTCCCGTTCGTTAAGTTTCTAGAATCATCTTGCTAAATGCATAGTCTGGTTGATAGCTCGCATGATCAAATGCATCTTTACAAAGCTGAAAGTGCCTCTGACAAGGCCAGAACTGTTTAGAGATAGCACTTCTACATTCCTGGCGCTCTGGATAGATCTTCCCAAGGTACGAAAACCAATTCTGATACGTTCTATCTCTATGTCGTTCCCTGATAGGAGATGCTAGTGGCTGATTAACCAAGAAACCGAGATGACATCGGGAAAAGCCGTAAGGTTGTCAGGCCCTTAATGCCCTTAACACTCCATTGCGGCTTTGATAACTTATAAATATCTGTCGAACTCTAGTCTCCGGTCCTGGTCAAGTTGATAGTTATGATCAAAGCATGATGTGTGGCGAGAAACGGCCTCAATAATACCGTGTCTACTCGAATGACAGAAAGACAGAACTGTTGGCCGGGATGCAAATAACCATCAGGCGGTGCTCCGGCTTCATCGGATCTTGATCAACGCTTGTCGAGGCGTCCATATAATCCCCGAGGGCCTGAGTCAGCATGCTTATCTCCAGGGCAAATCGAGCAATTGGTCTTACTTTGCATAAGGCTTGCGTGGCTAGAAGATACAAGCGTGTGGATGGGAAGTCTTTGAGGACGTTAAGACAAGGCTCAGCACATATTCGTTGATCTGTGACCTCACAATAGCATCTGGAGAGGCGTCTAGTAGCGGCCAGGCGACACCGAGATACACGTAGTTTCTTATGTAGGGAGAATTGACTTGATATCAAAATCTACGATCTGCCTGTACGGTGTAATAGACTTGCGCCGAATTTACCCTCAAGCGCAAATGACTAAGCCATGGATTTGGTATCTCAGGCAATTAAAGACACCAATTTGGCCTTCTCGCACTTGATCCACACATTTGGGAAACGGTATGTTGCGTAGACCTTCACGTCCTCTTCCCAAGTCACTTTCTTGCCCGCAGCAGATAGCTCTACGTCAAGTGCCCATGCCAATTTGGCGAGTATGAGGCGTAGCTCGGTGTACGCAATGGTTGCGCCAGTGCACCGACGTGGGCCGATTGAAAAGGGCATGACGGCGTGCTTAGTGTCGTTACTGAAGCGTCGATCATACCATTGATGGGTTTCTTGTAAGAATCTCTCCGGGTGGAACTCTCGTGGTAAGAAATAATAATCAGGGCTGCGAGCTGCCGCGAAGTTACAAGTCTGTACAGTGACCTATGTTCACAGTAAGTCTCAGACTCTGAAACGGACGGATACGAGTGACGTACCCCTGAAGGTACGAAATGACCATCGACATCTGCACCTGGGCTGTATCTTGGCAGACCAAACGGTGCTGGTGTCACAAGACGCAAGTCCTCCTCAATCACGGCATTAAGGTAGGGACACGCCGACTGGCAGGCCTCCACTGTGATGTCTTCGTAGCTTTCGAATGTGGCCCGGACTTCTTCTTGTAATCGCTTCATTGTCTCTGGCGAACTGCACAAAAGTAGAATCGACGAAATAATGGCGTTTGTGACCGGACCCAAAGCTCCTGCCATGAGTGAGTTGGCTTGGGCAACGATCCAGTCGTCGCTGCGTTTCTTGCTTTCCTGTGATACGATTGACCCCTCAGGGGGTATGATGGGCTCCAAGAGATCTAGATGTCGGACTTTGCCATCTTTTGCAATACGCGCGCGTGCGTACCCTTGGACAGTTTTGCCGAAGGTGGATATGCCAGATGCTAAAGCCCATGGAATCAAGCAAACGAATAGAGGGAACTTCAGGAGGGGAAACCGTTTCAGTGCCACGATCACTGCTCCCAGATATGACATTTTCCGCGATGCGATTACATCCGGTGTTGGATCTCCTATGATGGGAAAATTGAGTTGACCAATGGTCTTCTATGTAATCAAACAAGAGTCTCACCTGACTTCATGATTTTCGCCTCCCTGTTATACACCAACTCGCCGGAAATGTCATGGGCGAAGTAGTCGACCCACTAGCTGACGTCAACGGTGCGAATTATGTAGTTTTTATCTTCGTGGAATTACCTCTGTCAAGTTAACCTCGCCTCGTCTCTCAAGTTGTGTGACAAACTCATCAACAACCTGGTGAATCACGTCATGACAGCCATGGAGCACGCGCGAGCTAAAGGATGGCTGCAGTGCGCGTGCCACTTGGGCATGAGTTTCCGGGTTCCTCTCAGCGGCGACACCAAGGTCGGGAAATCCAGTAAATTCCGACAAGTCTTGCATATCAGTTTTGACGAAGATCTCTCGCCGCCTAACGGTGCTTCCATAAATGTCTTTGTAGGCTTGTGGTGTACGAAACACTAAATCGTTTGGCGCAATTCTAACGACATCGCCTGATCTAGTCAGCATGGGGTTTCGTGAGAGGTGGTGTGTGTTATGGTACCGTAAATCTGAAATTGCTGTTCAATTATCCAAGGATATCTTCCGGAGAGCCTAGTCGAGCCCTCCTGGTCAGCCGTATTCCGATGCTACATAAAGTCACAGAGGAAGGCATACCAGGCGTAAATGTACCACAGATTGGATATGGCAGCAATTCTAGGCCCAGGATACCTTGCTAACGGATGAAACCATAGCAGATATATCCCACGAATTGTAGCGTATATTACAGCCGCGCTGAAAACGATTGCCAGCGGTATCAATATCATGATGGAGTTTAGTGTCTTTTAGCGATTATTCGTTCAAAGAGATAACAGTCAGGAGCTTGCAGCAATGATGAGCGATTCCCACCACGTATTTAATCCAAGGTTGTCCAAGGTTGTCAGTCAAGCGCAACCCTATTTTTCAGTGTTTATCGGGTGATAAGATCTTTTCGACCCCAAAGCGTGAGGCGCATGGGCATGGGTACTGGGAATCGCATGTTGAATTCCCATGTGCAGTAGTAAAGCTATGTGCACCTTTGCAATTGTGACTTAGTCTGGAGTAGTCCCGTCCGAGAGTTCCGAGTTGCGTTGAATCCCAAAGTTTCTTTAGCGGTCTAACAATTTAGGCCTAGCTAATCATGCGATCGGGTAATAAAACCAAATGGTCAACAGTCAAGATTCATTAAGCGAGACCGAGCGTATTGATATTTGAACAGTTTCTTTTGTCAAGTTATTCTCATTCCAACTATGAAGTGCTTGAGTGGTGCCATGATTGACGGCGGCGGGTCTTGAATGTCGGAGGTAGGGCGGTGCGGGCCGGTGGGCGCGAACCCGTATGCCAAGCCGGTGGCGCCCCGGCTCCGTTGATCCTCTTCGTCCTTCGCACGTTTCGTGCGGGGGAGAACCGAGTCAAGTTGCCTTTCGGGCCATTTTGCAGAGTTTATGAGAGCAGATATTGCGCAGACTACTGCAGTGGTACCCATGGATAAGCCTGTCATGCAACTCCGAATCTTCAACATCTCTCTGGCCTGTGCAGCTGTGCGTTCATACCGGTGCCAGGGAGTGGGCAAAATGTTCTTGAGTTCTGGACAAAGTCTATCTTCACAGATTACCGCTACTTCTCGGTCTATACGAAAAGGCCCAATTGAGTTTGCCTGCGCCCTGGTTCACGATCACTTGCGGCTGGAACAATTTGTCATTCCTTCATTGGCCCAGCCAGTCTCACTGCCCGCGGGCAACTAGAGGTAAGTGCATGTAATTTCTTCTCATATTTCTTCGGCAACGTCAGATAGATTCTCAGTTCCCTGCCTCATCGGTATTTTCATTGGCACTGTCACCGTCTTGTCTTACATAGAGAACATAGTAGGGCATTTGGTGACTACTTCATCTCGTCCGCTACCTCCAATTACAGCTTTAGCAAGCTTTGCTTGTTGTCGCTCAATACTGCAATCTTACCAACACTTCACAGTCTTTAACAAGAATAATGAGGATACTCCTGTCTCTGCTGCCTGAACGCCCATCAAGGCTTCACCTCCAATGCTGAGCAAAGCTGATTGCAAAACGCGCAGCGTCTTCCGCTCCTGGTCCTACTATTAGCCGTAGCCGCGCGGAGTTTCACTTCCTTGAATGCATTCCCGATGCTACTCGGCGCTTACAGCTACCTCAAAACTGCCCAAAACCACCAGGACCTGTTTGTGGCAGAGCTTCCTTGCTGACAAGTACTGGGAGAATTGCTCATCTAATTGTATTAAATTCAATATGCCGCCAAGTCCATACTTCAATTGACCTTAAGGTAGGCAGCACCGTAGATGGAAGCAGGAGGATGAGCGCCCGGATGGGATTCCCCACCGAGAATTGCAGGCAGCTGCGAGTGGTCCGAGGGGGACGTTGCATGGAAGGCTGACACCAAGGCAACTTGTGCTATGCAGTCAGCATAATAGTCAGCCCGCACCCGTGCATGGAGTCGGGCGGCTCCTCCAGTGCGCCCGCTTTGTGACTTTACACTGCTTGAGGGCACGGGGTTGGGGTTCAGCCAACCAGATATCCTACGCAAAGATCGTCACTTTTTTCTACCCAGCGAATGATGGATTTTGTGACGCCGCCCACTGCTGCTGCTCACGGTATCCATGGCCCCGTCCAAGGCTTGCTTCCCTTGCAGCCCCAAACTCCACCTCTGCAGGCTCACGCTGCATCAAGCTCGTCGGCCAGCGCACACCATGCAGCCGCTGGGCGCTCTTGTTGAGTCTCCACCCCGTCAAGACTATGGCTTCTCGCTCCGCCGTCTCACATCTGCTTCCTTCATCTCCTCTACCACGCCATCACTAGTGTCAGTTCTCTCGTGCTAGCCTCCAGGATGATTCAAACGTTTTCCACCGCCAGTCCGGTCCGCTCCAAGGAAATGGATTTCGAAGGCCAAGTTCATCCTCCACCAGACGGCCATTCCGCCATGGCTCAGGGCATCAACTATGAACTCCTCTGCCGGGAGATCATCGCCCTAGAACCTCACGAGAAAAAACACTGGAAGGACTGGGCGGGGAAAGAATATGCCATACTGCCTCATACCGATGCCGCTGGGAACACATACTACATTGGCGATCTCTACGAAGGCGTCAAATGCAAATCAGAGTGGGAAATCAAAGAGTCCGTCTTCTTACTCTTTGAAATGAGAGTACTTCCACTGACGCTCCGCCTCGCAGCCCAAAGCCGTATCTGAGATATATCAAGAGTCTTTCGCAAGAATTGCCCCATCTGGCTTATCTCGGCTCCTGGATGGAAGTGGAAATATCTGAAGTGTTTCCCAGGAAAGGAGCCAGGCCATAGAGAAGAGCGAGCAAAGCGATCTCGTGTTTGCGTCGTTGACTACACGGACAACCAGCCCAAGAAATCACAGGACTTCATCAATGACGTACCCGGGCTGGGGCACTTCCTGTGCCATCAACCGCAAACCTCCGCCACTGCCCAAATTAGACTCATCGTTGCCGAGGATCTCTCCCGTGATCTTGTGGAGTTGCTGGGTTCCTTCTACGATATTGATCCTCAGTTTTTCCGGTCACACATCGACGACTATTTGTTCCACAGTCCCCGTGACCCGTGGGTAGATCTTCCCAGCCTGGATGTCGATGCCCGTCAACGCAACTATTTCACTTTGCAGTATCTGCGAGCTCGATACTTCGAGACCGAGGCAGATTTCGAAGTGGCCGAGTACGACAGTGGCATTTTCAATGTGTTGCGCCGTATCGATAGCGATAGGAGCCGGAGACGTTTGAAAGACGGTCTGCTGGACAAGCTTGGTGACAGCATCACCTTGACGCGATCCAAAACTTCGCTGTGGTGGAAACCACGCAAGGATCCGTCTGAACTCGTCACTGGTTTGTTCGATTTATGCGCTGCGTCAGCCAAAGGCTAACCACCTACAGCCATCTTGCTTGTCGATCCTACAGTCTCCAGAGGTACGCCTATATGGGGTGGTTATCGTCCATTCCAACAGACTCCCTCCATGAAGACATGGCTGCAAAATGAAACCCAGCCTTTCGATGCACCTCCACAAGGAACGTTGTACGAAGACGTCGTGTATTGGAGTCAGCGCATGGCTGCCCACGAGCTCGATCTGGTGCGCAAAGACGAGCGCAACATCGCCCTCGGAATGTATCGCTTGATCATCGTTGACTGGCTGCGGGCCTTGAAATATGTCACGGTCACTCTCACTAAGATCGAGTGGGAATTCGAGAGGCCTTACTGGGCTGACAACATCAGTAACATCGATAACATCATCAAGAAGCTATCTCCATGGCGTCGTAACATTGGCTACTACCAGGCTATGATCAGCGACGCCATAGCGCGCCTATTTCCTCCGGAGATTCATGCACCTATCGGGGGGATGCAACCCAGCGGCGCCATCATTGAGATGGATAACCTACCTCCTCAGCCTATTGCGGAAGAGGACAACCGCGGCATCCGAGCTCTTTGGACGGATTTCAGGAATTTGAAGCAGCTAATGACTGAAAGCCAAGCTCGCATCCGCACGATCGAGAACATCGCCGTGAACGGTGTCAACACCGAGGACGCCAAGCGAGCAGTGCAGCAAAAGAATGGGCACTTGACCCGACTCACTGGCCTAGCGACCATCTTTATCCCGCTCAACTTCACCTCCAGCCTCCTCAGCATCTCCCCAGACTTTTCCGCGGCCACGATGAGCTTCTGGCTCTTCTTTGCCATTGGCATTCCTTTGACGCTGACTGCGCTCTTGATCGTCGATGTGTCGCACCCGAACAGGAGGGGATTCTTGGTAAAGACATGGAGACAGTTGGGGACCACATTTGCAAGGACGAAACCTGACGAGCCGCTCCTCCCAATGAGCAACGACACACCACCACCGCGACCGAAACCAACAGCGAGAGAGCGGACCATCGAATGGGTTCATTGGTTTGAAAAGCTGAATGATAAACGCCATTGACGATAATGACGAAAAGCATTCTGTATGCACACACACACACACACACACACACACACACACATACGCACCTGAGGACTTAGCGGGCATCAGCTCAGCGTTGGTTGGCATTCGAGCATATCATGATTATATTCTTGAGCAAGTAATGATGATGACTGAACAACATCTACGAGATATGTAACCAAAGGTTTTCAGCACCTAGAACATATGTAATGGAGTTTTCATATGCAATTGTCAACATATAAGGCCTTCACTCAGTATCATCTTACCTGTATTTCTGACATCTTCACGAGTCCTACTCAGTCAAGCAGCATTACGCATTTCATTTTCTCTCTGTGAGAGAGGTGCGCTTCCTAATTACTGGAACATTTGTATTAGCGTTCTGGTGATGTGGAAGGAACGAGGTAAGAAAGTGGAAAAGATGCAGCAAGATGAAGCCATGAAGTTGCGGACCATCGAGGCCGCCGAGACGACGCATCCTCGGTCATACTTGACACACTACCCGCAGGCGGGCTTGAACTCGTCGCATTTCAGCTTGCGTTGCCGACATTTCGTGCTGAGCCCGAAATCAGCTGCAGATCACTCAGCTCTATCGGTGAGGGGCAAACCATCCATGATGCGAGCGCATGTTGCTGAGGGCCTCGAATCGACAAGCCCGAGGCCAGATTTGGCTTGTTCGATTTGGCAGCAGCGCTGCGCTTCAGGGGATCATCGACCAGCAATACCTAAAGACAAGCCTATTATACATCTCAGAATCTTTAATATCTTTCTAGCCTACATAGCTGTACGTTTACACTAGTACTAGGGCGTGGGTAAACAAATTCTCAAGCCCTTAAAAGTTTATCTTCGTAGACTAATACTACTCTTCAGTATTAACGAAAACTAAAATTGAGAGTTTTCTTACGCTCTAGTTCACAATCATCATCCATCACTCGATGAATAACACAGCCAATGTTTCTTCTCAAGAGCAGCTAAAATAAATCGATCGTAGGTGATTATGCTTCTGGGGCATGATCAAATCCATCCTGCTTCACTCCCTCATCGGCAGCCATGTTTGCATTGCCGTTCAGTGACATCGCAATTGCCCAGAAGCTTCACCACCAGTAAACCCCAGGTGCTGGCAGACCGCTCTTAAACTCCTCACTCAACTTTTCTGAGATTCCCTTGGCCAGAACCTCCGCCAGAGGAGCACCAGGTCCAGCAGGGACCTTTTTGAACCAGGGAATCTGCTTCACCGGGTCACATGCCGCCTTCGCAGCCTCAAGGTCTTCGTTGGTAAAAGCCCCCCCAACGACAGCTGCGACAGGCAAGGCTCCACTCTGACTGCCCAAGCCAGAAGCTGGCTTCACATTTTCTCCCTTCAGCAGGGCAGGCAGCTCAGCTACAGCAGTAGCCCGGGTGTTGGCGATGTGGACCACTTGTTCATGGTTAGACAGCTTTCTTCTCAATCAATACTATGTTACGAACCCTCATACTTGTCTGCAATCAACTCGGCAATGCGGTTGCACAGGTCCGGATGAGCTCCGCAGTAGATGATCGGAATGCGAGACATATTGGTGCTGAAAAATGGAAGACCGTTTTGGTGTTGATCGAAGGCTGAGAGATGGGATGGTGAAAAAGAGAGCACTTCCAAGTTTGTAGTCATGTTTAAAGACTGAAGATCGTCATTCGATCGTTGCCTGCCTCAACTGTGAAGTTCATCACCGACCTAGGAAACTGCCATCTTGGGAAATTGGGGTTAGTGTGTCGTGGTCCCACCCACAAGGACCCTGATCCAGGTTGCTGACCTGTCGAGAACAAATCGCTTGATCGAATGATTCAACTATTTGCCAAAAAGGGCAAAATATTAGGACGCAGAATGAGGCTCGTCGGCGGCCTGGATGAAACGAATGGCGTGATTGAGACCAACACCCGTTTGGGTTTTTCACAAATCAAGTGCAAACTTGATCTTGATCTCGTTGGGCGACCTACATCATGCCACTTGGGGTCGGCCCGATTCAAAAGTAGTCGGATCTTCATTGCTCTTGAAAACTGTCGGTCGCCACTGAGCAGGCAATGTTCTCGCATGCCGCCGAGATGGGCTCCGATTCCGGCCGGCGATGTCGGATATCCGAGCACGAGCATTTGACGTGTGTATGGACTTGTACTTGAGCTTAATGCCAAAAGTTGTAGGAATTTGTTATTGAAAGCCAGCTATGGACAACACACGTCCAGCGTAGTTTGTTGAACAACTTCAACCACCTCATATTAACTTCCGTCACTGAACCCTTAGTCGATCTCCACAGGCCTCTTGTTCACATAATAACCTGGCTTATCTACGGGAGATTTTGGATCCTCACCCCCAACACCGTGACTTCTGGAGTATCCAGGCAGTTGTGGGAAGGTCGTGCTACCATGGAGTTCGGAAATCGTCTGCTGCTTCTTTTTGAGATACCTGTACCACAACATAACACACACAACGCACGTCACGCCGACGAGCCCTACTCCGACACCTATGCCCGCTTGAGCCCCAACAGAAAGACTGTTTGGGTCTGCAACAGTGACTTCTGGGACGTTGCTCGCTGACGCGTCACCTGCTTTCGTCTTGTCTGTCGGCCCTGGCTCTTGTGCGGTTGGCAAGACACGCGCCTGTGTTGTTGCAGGCGCTTCTGGAGTAGTCGTGGTCAACTCGGCTTCTGTCGTCGTCGAGACTAACGATGTGGAAGATAGCTCGGAAGAGGACGCGAACGAGGTTGATGATCGGGTTGTCGAAGACTTGACGGAGGAAGAGCTGCTCGGTTCGGGCTCATCGGTGATGTTGAAGAAGGCTGAAGAAAAGGCCTGTCCCTTCTTCACTTGTCCTTGGACGGATTTGTCTCCCTCGAAGAGCCAAAAGAAGAAGACATTTGAGGCGCCCAACTCGAGTTCCTCGAGGTCAACCCTCCATTCAAACTCTCTCTTTGGACCTGTTGTGGTCTCTGGACTGAAGTTAGATGTGATCTTGTGTAGCAATCAACTCTGTCCACTCTTACCAACAATTATCGGTCCCAGAGTCGCAGAACCTCCTGCAATGGCCTGTTGCCAAAGGGCAATGGTGTATTTCTCGAGTTTGGTGTTGTATTGAACCTTCCGTGTCTGCCCGATTCTCCAAAGCTCCCTACTCTGAGACGGGTTGAGGAACTGGGAAGACACCAAAGGGACAGTGGTGAACAGTAACACAGCAAGGAAGAGCATGTTGAATTGGCTTGCTTTCCCGCAAAATGAGAGGGAGAGCCGTTGACTCTGACATTTGTTCTTTTATTAAGATGCTCCGGCTTGATCGTGGTCCTTGCTGAGTTGAACCCGACAGCTTGGGACCCTGGTCCACTCCTTGGTATCATGTTGGAACAACAAACAGCAACACCCTGCTCAACAGGACCAACCACGTGCGCAGATCGTCGAGGCGCAATTTGCAGCCTGCTGCGATAAGCCAGGGTTGACACCGACATTGTTGGAAAAAGCAAGCAACCATTTGCCCGTCGAGGTCATCTTAAGGGGACCACTGCGATCGTAGCATATCCTCGAGTCACGATATCTGGACTTTCGTAGAGAATTCAAGCTTAAAACTAAACACAAAAAGCTAATGTGGATTTTCAATAGTGGGAGACCACCAAAGGGGGCTTTATCGCGTTGCCGATGGTTTGGAAAACGGCTACGGCGCTTGGGATTCAGCTGTCTCCTCATGGTCCAATCACTAGGGTTGAAAGACCCACTTCGCATGCAGTTTAACCCAACTTGCACCAACACAAACTCGTATTGCCAAGCGATGGCGTTAACCGCTTCAGGTCCAACACCACAACCAAAACTCAGCTCCGTGAGGCAAAGCAAACAATCAAATCATTCCCCTTTTCTTCCCTCTGCTCCGGGCCCCTTATCTCCACGTTAATTTGGAACTCGCCTGCAAGTTGTGTGTTTGCTTCGGGCTGCGGATATGCATCCCGACGCAGTTGATGCAGGAGAGCCATGCCGCACAATATGCCCCCCATGCATCGTGGCCTATCAGTGGAAAGCCGCCATTCGCAAATTTGGACATTGGGGGCTGGCTGTTCCGACCCCATACATCCCGCCGGGTAAGATTTGACAACCCACAGCATCATGCCTGATACGGCCTGTTTGCTCAAATCTGCTTTTTAAGAAGAGGCGCCCGGCACTCGCGGAACCCATGGTGCAAAATTTTAGGAATTCCTCGTTCTTCTTCTTTCCCCATTGTTTTCCTGCGAGGAGATGAAGATGCATTTCATGCCCGTCAGGTCGACGTCCAAGAGGGATCTTTGTATCCTCGGGGCTGTGTTTGTCACACTTCTGTTCTTCTTGCATAATCCATTCCTCGGCCAGATCCGGCAAAGGCGGAGCTCATCCTTGCCAGATTTGATGAGCAAGATTAACAACAGCACATTGGGTGTGAGTCGCATCTTGGCCTCTGAGTTAGGTGTTGTATTGACATAATGTGTAGTTCGAAAAGATCTTCGTCATCGGCCTTCCGTCAAGGACAGACCGTCGAGATGGCGTTCTTCTCCAGGCCGCTCTGAGCGACATGGAAATCGAATTCGTCGATGGTGTCCCCGGTGACCAGGTGCCGGATAAGGCTATTCCAAAGACGAGCGAACATGATAAGCTCAATCATGGAGCCATTGGCTGCTGGCGGGGACACATGAACGCGCTTGGAGAGTGAGACGCGCCTATCCTCCCAGACAACTGACTCCTTTGCTGATCCACTCCTCCATAGAATCGTCCGTCGCAACTTGACTTCTGCCCTCATCCTCGAAGATGACGTCGACTGGGATATTAGAATCAGGCACCAGTTACACGACTTCGCCTTGTCGACGCAAGCACTTATCCAACCCTTGGCGGAGGCGCCCTTGTCCTACGTCGACCCAAGCTACCCAATGCCAATCGACAACACTCTGGGTAGGATACCCGACATCCCCTTTGAGCATCTCCCCGCCACAATCCCACCTAAAGTCTCTCCGTACGGCGATGACTGGGATCTCCTCTGGATCGGACACTGTGGCATGCACTTCCCGTTCGAGGACAGCAAGACTGTGCCGAAGGCTCGCATCATCCACACAAATGATGTCACTGTCGCCCCGAAGAAAAACCTCTGGACCTTCAACATCCCCTTTACCCTGAAGGAGAAGTATCCGGAGCACACCAGGGCTGTTCACCACGCACAGGAAGGTGTTTGTACACTTGGCTACGCCGTCAGCCAGAAGGGTGCGAGGAAGCTGTTGCAAGAGGTTGCCCTGAAAGATGTCAGTGATGCTGTTGATATTCTTCTGAGGTTCTTCTGTGAGGGCGCCAAGGGAAGGAAGCCTCACAACTGCTTGACCACGCAGCCGGCTCTCTTTCATCATCATCGCGCAGCTGGTCCTCTCAACTCAATGAGTGACATTGGAAATCACGGTGATGGGTTCAGGGATCAGAGTATGACTGACATGGTGAGATGGAGTGTGAGGCTCAATGCCGATGCGTTACTGGATGGGCAGACAGATTTTGTTGATCAATACCCCGATGATCGGTAGAAGAAACCGTATATCAATAGCATTTGTTTTGTCTAGACTAGATTGTGGTTAGAAGACATTTCACCCACGTGAACAAGTATATCTGGATCTGTGGTTCTGAGAACGAGAGCAGCAAACCCAAACTCGACCTCACCCTTGGTGGCCACAGTGACATTGTCTCATTTTCAAATTTGGTGATACAACTGTGAGAGATCTCATGGATAAGTGAGTGTATTCATAAGCGTAGAGCTGAGCCGTAGTTCTCCACAAGATTGTCAGAGAAGATGTACTTCAGGCTGTGATGCTGGTTCATCCAGATGAGCAGTGGCAGGCGCTCCCATGTGTTTAGCTATGGCATGAATTCAATCATCCTCCGTTACTGAAGCGACACTATGGCCCTCGAGGCTTGGTAAAAATAACGTAAGAAAGAACTTCGTAGTTGACACCATGCGAATGGATGTCATTCATGATACGAGGTGGACCAAAAATGGCTCGTACTAGAATCCAAGCTAATTAGTTTTCAGCCGGATCCTGTGGTGGGAATTAGCTGGTATCCGTCGGAGTTGAGGCAATATTCCGCCTAGAAGACTCCTACCTGATGGAGGAAGTTTTGAGGTCTTCCAAGTTATGTCGAGTTTATTGACGATCCGGTCGATGACATTCCTCAGTACCTCTGTGTATAGACTTGCTAGGTCCCGTTCCTCCGCGCGGCGATCCCAAGACTTCAAGTCAGCCTGCTTTACGGACTTGGCGATGAGAGACTCGCCGTGGAAACTCCAAAACTCTCTGAACATCACGACCTCCAAGCCGTCCTTCGGTTTGATGAACGGCGATGACGGAGCAGCTTTCCCAGGGAGCAAAAGTTTCCACAGTTGGAACCACTGTTTGTTCAACCCAAGGCCTTTACGATTCCTGAATAGTTGCCTCCTCTGGTCGTCTGAGACACCTTCAAAGTGAAACACCTCTTGAATAGCACATATTCTGTCAACGATGTGTCGATCTCGACCTCTGGCCGTAGGAAAGTCCCGTTTGCAGATGGGGCAATAGAATGGTATCCGATGTTGCTGCCAGAGATGCTCCTTGACCTCTTCGATCTTCTTCAGACGATGGCGCTTCAAGCATTCCGAGTATTTCGACGGATCCTTCTTGAAAAAGGGGCAAGCAATCTCCAGAAATTCCTTTCCCTTCATTTCTACTCCTGGGAGACTCGCTGGCTCCCCTCCTTGGTGGCTAAGCTGCGGCGGATCACTGTAGCTCGGACACCGTGCTTTCCTCCAACTGGTAAAGCATCTCAGAGCTTTCTGGGAAGTTGTTTCGATAATTGTACGAAGCGGGTGGTTGGTATCCAGTGAGGAGTCCAAACTTATTCGTTCATCAAAGCACAGCCATCTATCCTGATCACTCCGAGATACCACACTACAATCTTCATTCCAATCAGAAAGTTCGATGTCGAAGTCACCTGGAATGGAGTTTTCCGTGATCCGAAGTTCTTCAGGGACCATTGCAGGAGCGGGCGACACCGCTGCCTGCCAGTAACGTATGTATGTGGAGTAGCTCGCTCCCATGTTGGTGTTTTGTTGAGCTCCTCCGTATGGTTGAAACATAATGGATTTCTCCTCTGGGGTGAAGTGCACCCCCGTGTTGTTGTAGTGCGTGTAATCGGATCGAAGTTGGCTGTCCGTTCTATGAGTACCCCCCGAAACAGCATGAACCCAATCTGGAGCTTCTCGTCTGGAATCTCGCTGCGGCGTCTGATGAGTGAGATCTTCACTTGAGATTTCGTCAGGCTGCCCTTCATTTGCTATTCTTATCTCAATATTCATGAAGTCCTCGTTAAATCTGCTAGAATGTAGGTCTCGGGGGCCAAAATCATGATTGGCGTCGTTGTCGAGCTTTTGCAGTGTTACTCCTATAGCTTCCACCTGTTCTTGATTCAAGCTTGAATTCGTCCATCCGCATACACTTGATAATGGTGTTGCGTCCCAGAGTTGGGAGTAATGGGTTCCGAACCATGAGTAATTCTGGGAGGCACTGTTCGTAATCAAATACGGAGCCTTGCCCACCATCTGACGCTCAATATAGCTGCACGGAATGGCATTTCCATGCGTTGTCATTGACATTGAAGCCATCTCCAAGAGTGGCTTTTGGTGTTGATAGTCGCCTGTGGTTCTGCCAAGGGCTCCCGAGATCAGCTGCTGTATTGTCGGAATAACCAAACTCCCTTCAAAAGCACCGTCGCCTTTAAACAGTCGAAGTCTTAGTGCAAAGATTGTGTATAAAGGAGATCGCACGTCGAGCGGAGACCGCATTTGAGACATTGAGCCATCGAGGTAGTCTTCTCTGACAGGCTCGATTGATTTGGAATCGTACCCGATGGCATTTGGGAGATAGACGAAGGATATTTGCGCTAGTTGATAGTACGATTGTATGTGCCGAAGTGTTCGTGAAACTTCAAGAGGCGAGTTGAAATCGATGCAGAAAGAGTCGCACCAAATATACTGCAGGCCAAAAGCGACTGTCAAATTGCACAGAGCCAAAAACCGCGGGAAACCCGGCTTCCGAGGGGCTAATTTCGCATGAACGTCCTCGAAGAGCACCTCTTCATTCCAATCATCCTTCCAAGTGCAAGAAGCAGCAAGGAATGGAGGGAAGAAATCCTGGAAAGACTCGAATCGATCTAGATCGGGCCTGAAAAGCCTGATGACCATATGGCTCTGGGTTTCGGCATTTTCAGGTTTGAGCTCGTCACTTCCGCAGTGCATCGTAGCGTAGATTTATGGATGCCACAAACAGGGCCAATATGCACCCCGTTTGACTCGTCGTCGCTCGTACTTGGACTCAATTGTCGTCTGAGAGCCTTCCGGAACGGAGAGTAATAACGAAAAGACGCGGAGGAGGCAGGCGACTGGGATACGAGCAGCTTTTTGGCGGAAATGCAAGGCGTGAGCCGAGGGCACATTTGTGCTGGGGCGAATATCACCTGGACCCTTCGCCCGAAAGTGTCAGTGGCTACTGGCCCCGTTCGGTACAATGTCGTTGTTGAGCGACCGAAAATCGCGATTGATACACTGGGCGGCTGCCTTCACCAAAGGCAACTAGCAGAGAAGAGGCTCTGAGGCAGAGGTTGGCGACGAGACCGAAAGTGTCAAAATCTTAGGATGAATGAGAGAACGAAAGTGGAATGAATGAATTCTGAGATGTTAAGGCGGGGTCTGCTGGATCGTCAGCAGGCTGTAATTGTGCGAACCACTAGGCGCCAGTGCACCCTCCAAGATTCCGTCCTACATAAGATTGCGCCCCTTACAATCTGAGCCAATCATACTTCAGTACGCTCACCCAATATTTAGTTATTTCAATCTGCGGTACATCAATTATCCCGTGACCAGGCGAATGACTGGTTATTATTGCGATGCCATAGCTGGACTTATCCAAAACCGTCGCCTGTGATATTTCCCGGCTAAAATGACTCCTCTGTAGGTAACCTCTCAACTGATTCACCCCGGCTGTTTGCTGTTGCCTGTGTGGCAAGATTAATTTCATTAGCTAAAATGGACATATAGAAAACGGGAGAATGCTTGAGATTGCCATTCGATCGCTGTAAGCTAAGCCGCGTGGGGCCATTGGCACGAGGCTGGCCCTTCGCTGAGACCAGTCATACAGTCACTCACGCGGCAGCCCTTATACCAATGGTGTCACTACGTGGAAAGAGCGGCATGTCAGACTTACAATACTTCGAACGCCTCGGCCGAATGAAAGTGCAAGATTATGTGCTTGCATACAATTATGCGATTTGATTCGTGGTCGCCTGCTGTTAGCTCCTGTATTTGTGTGAAGTAGACTGATGAATGTGCTAGATTGGGTTTTAAGATGATGGATCTCTAAGAATCAGGCTGGACTCTCGTGAGGGCAAATCAACATGGTAAACTACTAGGCCAGGAGGATTCTTGTATCACCTTGAGCGCAGTTGCTATAAGGTGCTGCCGACATCGACTGGAGCGTGCGTTAAACGTGAAACCTGAACACATAATAAGCCATATTCCACATGTTTCTCACATTGTTTTCCCCAATTCCACTATACACCCGCTTAGCCCGGTCCAAGCGGGAACCTTGAAGATTTCCTTGAAGCTTTCCATGAAGTTTCGTAGCAGACATACATAGATTAGACACGCTTTTGAGTTGACGAGTGTCATAACGATTAAGGCGAAAGTATTAGATTACAATACATCACTTCCAGCAAGGATCGGAGCAAAAGGACATGATCTTCGGATTGACTCGACATTCAGTTCTTGCCCTTCCTTGAGTTATCGTTGGGTCTTGTGGATGAGCACTTTTGAGAATCGGTCATCAAAAGAATTCATAACAGCTTGAATGTTGTGGCCTGGAAACTTGAGCGTTGGCTAGTCCATCGAGTCTCAAATTTATAAGGTTTATGGGGTTTCTCGGCTTTCCAACGTCTTGCACTGCATTCAAATTCGTATTGTGCGGCTTTGGCTATGATCTTTCCGTGTTACGGGCTTTTCAAGGCAGCAGACAGAAAAAGTCAAAAACGCTTCGACGCAAGAAAGGGATTCGACTTTGAGAACCGTCAGATGCACTATGTTGGACAATCAAGCAATGACCCTGCAAGACATAAGTGATAGGACATTTGCAGATTCACGTTTCCGCAATTCCTCATTGAACACTGCAGGTGCCCGACCACAGAATAGCATCCAGATCCCAGTGACATCTAATGAATTCAACATTTTTATCAACTTATTATTCATAAGATAATATGGGGCGCTGACGATCATTGTGCTTAGCATAGAATGATTTCATTTTGCTCAATTGTCTCTCCGTGTTTGGGGTGATTTGACATAATTATGAGATCCAAGCCGCAGTGAAGTTGTGCCGTAGAGTACAAGATAGAGTCCATTTTGATATGTGTCGATTAATCACATCAAGATTTCATGTAAAAGATGGCGAAGAGCTCACATCGATGGTGCCCCCTATCAGGCCCGCCACTGCAGAATCATGTTGACAAAGACGAAAGTTCTTCAAGGATACCCGCAATATTACAACATCGCAGAGCCGAGTCTCAGTGTTACCCCCGAGACCTCATCTTGTGTTATACGATAATGAAAATGAAAAGCAGATCTAGTTCTGTGATATCCCAAGGTATTGTTGGATGTATGACATTCCTGTGGGGAGCCACCAAGTACAATATTGTAGCCAACTATCAGACGTCATCAGAACATCAGATAATTGAGTCATGGGCGTGATGATCTCTCACCTTTTCTAGGTATCCCCAGAGTAATGTTCTCCAACTGATGCCGTAGACACCAGACCTTCAAACAAATGAGAGAACACGAAACGAACACTGATGCTTGGCCGGCAGATCGCCCCCACAAGCCGCTAAAGCTCGGTCTCGGAGACGGTGCCGTCTCGTGCCGTTCAGAGTCTGTCGCCGGAGGGACACTTTGGAACGAACCCCTTTGTGGTGTTGGAGTCCTTCCCCAATGACGACAATAGCGAACCCTGACTCGTATTCCCACACTAAAACATTTTTACCCTCGTGCTGATCTCGATTGGAGTGACGCACGTTCCTGCGAGGCCAAAGCTTAATTCCCCAAGGGAGTCTAGGGTGCCCCTTACTACGGGAACTCGCTGTCCCAGTGTCTGTGTTGTCGGGCCGGAGATCGTGAACACATATGCATGGGCAGAGAGCGGACAATTCACCGCTGTTAAGGCTTAGCCAGCCCGTTTGCTATTACTTAAGTCTTTTCTGGAACGGCATCTCCCGAGTCCTGGCGGCTTTCAGAAGACGCGGCTGTGAGAGGTTTGAGCGTTGGCGGCAATCCGGTTGCACCGGCGCCCAGTCCGATCTCCGCGCCGTCCGTCAGGTTGCAGTCGTTCAACGGCGCCATTACCCATATCCAGACCGTGCCTTGTTCTCGCGACAGCTTCCCAGCCCCGCCTCCAGGGGAGCCTGGCATAACTGTCCGGAGATCATCGTTGCAGCCATCTCACTTGGAACGGCGTGGCGAACTCCCATGTGCCCCAAAAGCAACTGCATACTTCATTTGCCGGCCGCCAACCGGCTACAGGGAAAGTCTGTTCGATGCAGCAAGACACCACAAGAGGTAAAATTTGCCCATAAATCCTTGGCATCCAGCTAAAACGGGTTGGGTCTGAACGTTGCCCACGGACAACTTGACGCCTGCAGGGTCCAAGGTCATCCAGTTCGGCCAGCACTGACGTTCCCGAGTCGGGGATAGGGAATCTTCGACGGCGTTTGCTCTGCAGACCAGTCACTGCGCTTGTGTCGCACCCTCCATTCCACACCAACCTTCGAATAAACTCCCCCAGACTGCCACCACACGCCAGCTTGATTCCTCAGATTCTAGCGTGTCTATTCGCCATCATTGCTAGCGCGGCACAGAAGTTCCGATGAGCGGCGGTCAATGGGTTCCAGGCCTTCTTATGGACAGCCGTGCCCCAACACTTTCGCGCCCTCGCGGAAAAGTTTCCCTGCCCAGCAGCAATTCTCGCTCTTCTCCCTCGAGTCCCTGCGCTTCGGTCGGGGATGAAGGTGGACGTCTCGTCCAAGATCCTTCGCAATCGACTGATGATCATCGACATCTAGCCTCACGATGGCGGGAACCCTTGTTCCTCCGTGGTACGAGGAGCATCCTCCTTCGGTCAACGATATGAATATCGCCAGCATGTTTTGGGGGTTCACGCTTGGAGTCGGGCTATGGAGCGGGGTCAAAGGATACCGACAGACTCTGGCGAGTTGGAGAAGGATACACCGGATCAACACGTATGTGTGGTTTATATGGTCCGAATGGATTGCGAGTATGGTTATTGGCATCATATCTTGGTGCTACCTGACGGGCAGGATTGACGCAAGGTATGCGCGGCAAATTCACACCCCAAAAACCAAAACTGACGGCCTTATAGCTTCGAATACTTCTTCTTCCTTCGTAAGTTCCATTGAGTACGACCGACCTCTTCGCGGCGCCGTTAACGAATCGGCTCTTCCAGTTGTTCTGTGGTCTATCCAAGTCCAATGTCTGATGCAAATTATCATCAACCGTATCGCGATTCTGATACCGATTCAGTCGCATGCAAGCCGGCTTAAGTGGGGCGTCTTTGGGATCCTGCTCGCGGTTAACATCAGCGTTTTCTGCATATGGATCCCTGCGCGTCTTCAAATCAATCACACATACATCCATGTCAACGAGATATGGGACAGGATCGAGAAGGCGATTTTCTTGATTGTCGACGCAAGCCTCAACCTCGCCTTTATCTATCTCGTCAAGTCACGCTTGATTGCCAGCGGCCTGACAAAGTATACGAGGCTATTTAACTTCAATCTTCTCATGATTGCGGTGTCGATGTCACTCGACGTAAGTACCTATTATGCGCGTGACACTGCGACTGAATCGACACTTACCCAAGTGGTTACAGGTCATCTTGATAGGCTTAATGTCTCTTCCCAATACTCTTATGTTGGTACTTCCTCTCGTCGATTCCTTAACAGATACTAAAATTTTCAGCTACGCACAATTTCACCCCCTCGCCTATCTCTTGAAACTACACATCGAGATGGGTATGGCCGATCTTATTGCCAAAGTAGTCCGCGAGTCGCATTCAATGAACGCGCACCTTGAATCCAGAAGAGACAGCAACGAAGGCGCTCCCAATCCTAACCAAAAGAAATCGATATCAAGATCAACGGAGTCACGATCCAGGAGGTTCTCCATGCCATATCTTGGCAATCGATTCGTCCTATCTTCACAAGAGACAGCATCGAAGAGGAATTCAGGAGAAGATACCCATGACCCCGGCCAGCAGGAAAGCTCAGGGTCAGGACGAATAGTGCAAACAGAAACTCCCAGGCGGCCGCGAGCCATGTCTCGTCGTCTGACAGCACCAATCGGTTTGTCTTCGCTTGAGATTGCTCGGCACTCGAGCTCAAGTCAGCCAGACTCTGGTAGTACTATTGTGGACCACGAAGCGACGGAGTATGTTTGATGACCGATCCGGGCAACTCATGATACCCCAGGAGTTTAGGGCGCGGGAAAAATGTTCAAGAGCTGAACAAAGGTACTTGGTCTCGACGGAGTTCATAGGTTAATGGGATTTTAGGCTTAGATTGGGTCAAGTAGTTGCTCATTCGCATACGTCACCCAATAGAAGCAAGGCAGCGTCATTCTTGCTATGTTCACTTTCACAGGCAAATAGACCCAACTCTCGAGATTCCCCATTGATGAAAGACATCTCGAGCATGGGTTGGTCTGGCGATGATGGTCCGCTTCATGTCGTGTCTCCAACATCTCCACTCAAATTGGACTCAGGCGTTGTGGCAGAGTGGTCTAATGCGCAAGACTAGAAATCTTGTTCCTTCGGGAGCGTCTGTTCGAATCAGGCCAACGTCGTGGTATTTTTCTTTTGGAAACCCACGATAGTACCGGTCCCCGTGATCTTCAAGTTGGGCGACAACGCAGTGACGATCATGGTTCGTAGTCATTTGACCATGCATACGAGTAGTAAACGACTGCTGAGTTAAGAAGAGTGAAATTATATGCTATGTTTTAAGCTGCTCGATATCTGTTCTAATTTCCTCCGCTGATTGTATTTGCTACTTTATTCTGCAACGCTGCGCGCAAAGTCAGGTTGACTTGCAATAGATCTGTAGGACAATAACGGTCGGTTAGCAGTGAAAACACAGCAAATATTATTAAAGCGGGAATTCAGTGTGAGTACATGCCATCTTGCATCCGCGCTTTGGCCTTTGCTTGATGCATCCCAGTCTTTGGGGATTATAGAAAAGTTTTATAGACCCTCGCCTGATGCTTCATTCCATGAAAAGTCGATGTCATGGTCAGCCAATGATTGTGGATACACCGGCCAATCCATATCTGGCGCCACACTGAAACATTCATGATCGATTGATAAATGAGTAGTCACAGCTGCGTCTCCAAGTTCGATGAAGGGTGGCGCGTCGAATGAGGCTGGCGGCTGCCTGACATCAGTGCCAGGCGCTGAGACCATAATTGTGTTTTCGTTTTCCACTTGCCCCCCTTCACATTGCGAGGTTTCAGATTGTAGTTGTGGTCGTGATGGAGTTGCAGTGTGTACTCGTCCTTGGTTTTGTGTTTCCCTTTGAAACTGGTTGAGAAGGATGTTCATGGTGTCTTGCAAGACCTCGGCACTAAATTGATGGATAGTCTCCGCTTCAGTCGATCTGTTTTCAAACGGAGCGCTGGCTCCTGATGAAGAGCTGGGAGCGCTTTGACGAGACGTAAGCAGGTTCAGGACAATGGTATGACAATTCTCCTTCCAATATTGTTGGACCGTTTTAATGACTTCTTGGAGTTCTGTACCTAGAAAGGGGGATTCGGGCTCTTCCTTTCTCGGAAATAAAATCCTCCAGATGCTGTACCATTGCTTTGACTCCTCAAGACCGCTGTCTGTTCGTTTGGCAACAAGTTTCTTTTGTTCCGGGGTCATGACGTCGTCCTGAAGATTGGGTTGGGCCCGTGGAAGGCACGTACGTTCAATGATATGTCCATCACGCTCAGAACTACCATCGAACGTACGCCAGCAGGTCGGGCAGTATAGATCGGGTACTGTGTGCTTTCGGTTCAGGTGCTGCTTGACGTCCTTCACACGTTTCATGTGAAATTTCTTAAAGCAGTTGAGATGCTTGACAGGGTCCAGTTTGTAGTACGGACAGGCGAAAAGCTTTTGCTGGCTCGACCCGGATTCATTCCCAGACTCTGGTTTGATGGAGGCTTTATTACACTCATTGTGCGATGCTGCATCCTCAAGGTTGTTGGGTTTATGCCTCTTTCGGTCCCGCTCTTGATGGCTCGTGTTCTTGTCAGCTGAAGCTCCCATTGACTTGGATCTTTTTCTTGAGCCATTATTGCAGCCAAACGCTTGTGCCACATCATCAAAGTCTATATTGTGGAGAATTGTTGAAACGAGGTCATTCTGGGAAAACCACTTCGCAAGCCTAACAAATGCCGATCTGATGAGTTGTTCCCCTTGTGGTTCTTGGGTTCCAATGACATTGCTTGCCTCCCAAAGAGAGTTCGGATTACTCTCATATCCCAGTTCAGATAAGATGATTGAAATTGACAGCCGAAAAAGACCTGTTGAATTTCATGTTAGATTCTGCGGGAGTTCGAATGGTGGAGCTTACGCACCAGCTTGGATGTGATTTACTAGAGGCGACATCTCATTGTACCTCCGAATAGCCGCTTGCATAAGAGTCACGCGTTGACCCTCGCTGTACTTAATCCGAGTCGAAATCCCTCCTGCATTGAACCAGTTAGCAAAAACCAAACTGACACTTTTGTATGATAAAAACGAACTTACCAGATTCTGGGGTTATGTTTGACTCGAGACTCGGACCGTCTGGTGGTATAGAATGGCTTGTTCTCGTTGTGAAGTGATTACCTGCTCCCAGCTCCAGGTCTTTCAAGTGCCTCGTCAGACTGTTGTATTGCAACCTTTGGTATGGCATTCCCAGTCGACCACGACGAACGTCCCTGAAGGCTATTCTAGTGCTGTCGCAATATGAAAGCCTCGACTTGTCCCCTCTCCTGTTCATGGAGTCGCGTTGCTTGTTGCGGCTCCTGAAAACGTCATTCCACGACACGAGTTCCAACTGAAAGCTCCGAGGCGGCAATCCTGGTATCATCTCAAACTTCAAGATGAACAGAGCTTCATCATCCTTCCTAACCTTTGCGTCGTATAGTAGGCGTCTCGTCATAATCGACGCCGGCACCAAAAGATAGAATAAGACCGACCCGATCCCAGGCTGAGTTCTATCAGAAGACCTGCATCGTTCTTCCAACTGTATTGAGATCTTTTCCTGGGTATGTATATCAACTCGCACCTTTTCCAGACTCTCTATGGCATCTCCGCCATGATGTTGCAGGTATCGAGAAGAGGTTCGCTGCGGTTCGCTATGTCGTTTTGACCGTATCATCGTGTCATTGTCCCTCGGCAAAGGTTTTGGTCGGTCAAAGCTCGGTAGGGTACTGGTAAGGGCGTCTTCGATCGTGTAGGTATGCTGGAAATAAATGCAGGTTGGAAATGGAAAAACCCAAGTGTCAGCCCAACATCCCCAGGCACACCAGTTATGATTGGCAGCGGGTCCAGGCGAGGGCCGCGAGTGTTACTTCTGCAGACTAACGCAGTGGCTGTACAGAGACTCCAATCATGTCCTGCCACCCTGCAATCATGACCAAGATTGACATACGGGGGCCTTACCGTTGTTCCATGACATGGTCTCCGCCCACAAATGTGGGCGAACAAAATGTGCGTTTACGTGCAGCTCCAAGAGACTTGCTGATAACTAGGTGAAGCCTTTGACTTAGCTTAGGTAGATATTGCATGTCTGGATGTTTTGATACAAGGCAGTAAGCTACTGAGAGCGTCACTGGCAATGCCTACAGTGCGTACCAAGACAAGAGAAGGCTCATCCAGTTTTCGCACCCGAATTACGGTTAGCTGTTGGGAGCCCAGTCTCAGCGCTCGGCGAAATTAAGCTGCGACTAGGTGATTCACCATCAATAATGATAGTCAGGATGTACTCGTGGTGATACTTCTGTTAAGTTATTTTCGACTCTCAAGAGTCCTATTTGATACATGCATCCCTATGCAGCATAACCAATGACTTCGTTTCGCAGGTCTCGACTGAAAGGCAGACCCGAAGTCACCCATGCGCGCCGTCTGAACCGCCCCAAGGCAGACAGACTCATTGATACACTTCGCCTTAGCCAAGCTCTCGTCCAACGACTGTGTGCAGGCGTTTTGCACTTTGCCTTCAATTGTGGGGCTCTGTGAAGTGCTGTGTTGTGTTGATCCTTAATTGGCCGTACACCTGCATCGCTTCATGCATCATTTGATGCGGGATTGTTCTCCCATTGTCGGTCAAATTGCGCTAAATAATGCCTCAACGCCATAGTTTTCTGTTTGACAGGCTTGCCGGTCATGATGCGCTCGGCAACAGGTAAAGGTTCGCGATTCCAAACTTGTAGTCTCAATGCGGTCAAACTTTGCGATCTGGAATTGTGACTTTGTGCGAGCTTTAGCTTCGGATCATCTGAATAAAATCTAATCAAGACGAGAAAGCCTTACTTGGTGTAATCAGAATCCTCTCGGGACGGTGCAATGGAGGTGGCTCTGCTACCAGGCATCTTGGCGGTATCCCAAGCCTCGCTGGTGGCGCGTGGCAGGTGTGAAGCTGTTAATCGATCACGATCAACCGAATAAAGCATGCAAAGATTTCGTTGAGCTTGCGTAACACTTTGCAGAAGAGTTGATAGAATATGTCCAAGTTGCTACATATTTTCATGGATCAAGCGCGCATTTAAAACTCCATTCTGTAGTAATATTTGGGACAACGGTGTTCGCCCACAAATGTTAGAATACCAAAATTCCGGTCGGGTCTGCCATGGTGTTTTCACATAGCTGCTGCAAGACTTGGGAGGTGTGACATCTCGCCCAATGAGCCATGCGCTGTAGCTCTTCGGCCGATCAGCCTAGGGATGGCGGGACCTGCTACAGATAATGGCCAGTACCACCACATTTGTGCGTCTCATCAAGCAGGCAGGGGAATGGTGTGCCAGCCAGACAGCCTTATTACCCAGCTTGTAGACTGGATGACTTTGCGAACGGGCGAACCATCCGGCTTTGCGTCACTCTTTCTGGACTGTGTTTCCGCACAACATTTCTCGTAAGACAACTCGGAAAAATCTCCATCTTTCCTCGTTATTACGGCGTCTTGACGAAGTCCTCGCCAGTACGTGTACGGCATCAAGTGCGCGTGTTAGCAGTGCCTATATATCGACATGGAACCCTGTGTTTCCGCTCCCCTCGTCCACCGACCCCTGCCGTCCGGCTCGTCCCAAACATCAGACAATCGCTTTACTATCCCTCCTCATGGAGAACGCTCTTACAACCGCCCGAATACATTATATCTCAACAGGAAGCCGTCTTCCAACTCAATTCTGGGTGATAGTGATAATCCCCAAGGCGACAGTATCGCTGTAGCTGGCGGCAAGACGCATGTCACAACGAGGAGCCCAGGCTCAAATGAAGCTGGGATTAGCAGCACTAAAGATGGTTTTGCAAATGCGGAAAATATCGATAAATTGAACGACAGGCCGATATCACGGTTCTTATTCGGCAAGACTTTCCGCGCAAAGGGATCAAAGTCCAATTCCAAGGACAACACACTTTCCGACACGAATGCCGGCCGTGAAGTGACTGGTGGCGCCCGTCGCCCTTCATCTTCATCATCTAGTCGGTCGCTCCGGCTTCGGATAGTCGCCGGCTTCAAGGATATTGCAGCTCGCTCAAGATCTTCTCGGCAATTCCAGCCAATTTCCCCTCCATCACAGTGGAAGCATATTCCTGCTTCCGAAACGTCCAGTTCATCATATCTTTTGCTGTCCAGCTCCTACTTGACAGACACAAACCTCACGGGCTTGACTAGCCAGCGGTCCCCCAATCCTACATTCGACAGCAACGATTCCCAGCTTTTGATGAAAGGGCCATCACCAGCCCTAGCCTACATCGAGAAAAGGAGCTGGCGGAAACATCATTTACATGATCCGGTATTGACTTTTGTTGACCGGTTCAAGGGCAAGCATTCACGCCACCGTCGCCGTCAAGAACCGCCCACAACGCAACTAGCCGGTGGGAGTCGCGGTGGCCAGAACAAATTCAAGAGCTCCACGTCTGCCGGAACAAAGTCAGGCACCACTTCCGGCACCCGCTCTAGCGCGGCGAAGAGGCCTAATAGCGACGGCGATGCGGAGAACCCCGAGAACAACGAAGATGGAGATGATAATGACGGCCCATCACCCAAACGACCAAAGCCGGACAAAGAACCCGGCAGACTTTTCGCATGCCCATATTTCAAACTCGATCCTACAAAACACTGGGCATGCGAGAAATTTCACTTTACGACATGGGCACATGTCAAACAACATCTGAGGAGGAAGCACGATTTAAAGGAGTTTCAATGTCCTCGGTGCGACTCCCGCTACAAAACCCGGGACGCTTGTGATGAGCACATACGTTCATGCGAAGTATCACGCCGCATTTCACCACATGGGCAAACAAACTTAGACAGCATTAGCGAAGAAGCCCAAAGGGATATCTCGCAAATTCGTTCACGGGAGCGAGGCGTGACAGACGCCGACCGATGGAATAAGGCGTGGAAAATTCTTTTCGACCCTATCCCTCAACCCGACACCCCATTTAAGAAGGACACTCCAACCGAGTTGTTGGCCTATTTCGGAAAGCAACTCTTCTCTCGTCCCCCCACTGTTGATGATAGTCTCATTGCGGAAAACATTGTTTCATCGACAGCCGACGTGGACAGAATACTTTCCCGGGTCCTGGAGCAGGTCACGTCTGTGCCTAATTCAGCTTTACGCACCGACACACCGCAAAGAACTCCAATTCCAAGAACCAGGGACATCCAGATCAACAATGCCGCCAGCGCGACAAATCAACACCGAATGCAACCCATCGCTGAAGCAATGCCAGAGCGAGATCATGACACAATGCATGCAACCCTGGTCTCTGCCGCAGCCGGCGGTGACTCCGCACCCAGCTTAAGCCCGCTATTTGGTGCTGAGAGTCCAATGACTGGCCAGGGGGAATTCCTTGAATTGTTGTATTACGAAAATTATGAAGAGAACATGGATTCAACTGACAACGACGTACTTGATGAAATCTGATGAGACTAGGAGCCGTGGTTCGGCAACATTAGTCGACTGTCAACCTAGCAACCTGCGGCAGCATTTCTCTTGGGCCCAGCTCTGTTACTGGCCTCTGGACCCCGTCCCCCCCCCCTCTTTCTCGTTCACTCTGCCCCTCTCCCTCCCACCCTCCTTCCCTCCTTCCTCCCTTCTCTCTTTCAATGGAATTTACTCCATCGGCGTACGGAGCTCCAAAAGTGTTGGGTTTTGTCGTTCACTAAGCGAGGTGTGCTTTCTGGCGGTTGATTGATCCAATGCCATAGCTTCATTGATATGTTAGGTTGTTCATCCTTCCCGGTCCTGTTTGCATGTCAAGGCCAGATACCAAAGCAATCTAGACAAATCGATACCTTTGAGTTTTTACTTGCAACTGATGTTGACTTGTTTGATCAACTACATGCGATGTTCCTTTCTTATCCAGGGGAACTGCTTCACGCTAACCAAACAAAACTTTGGCCCACCGTTGTCCATTAAACACTGCCCTATTTGCAGGATGAATAGACTGCCATCATAGCATAACATATCAAGCAGCTAATTTAATTGGCACGGAGCGAAAACCATTCTGGCGTGCTATCAAGCCGTTGAAATTGTTGAAACCTTCCACATGCTTTGTCTGGGGGTAGTAGTCCCATGCGAGTTGTCATCTTAGAGGGAGGGTTTAGGGCTCAAGGGGAAATTCCGATGCAAGTCTTCCCGGTCTCACGTCGACATGGAGTCTGGGAAGGCGCTTTTGTTGTTCATATCATCTAGTGTGATATTCTATTGGGTATCTCATATCACATGATGCTTTTGGGTTGGCCAATCTATGAGTACCTATGAAAGGTGGTGTGATAACCAAGCGTTTCCGGCGATGTTGCCCAATCCCGGACTATCATTTTCATTCTGTTGCATGTAAGGTATGTGATGAAGGGATTTAGTCCTCAAAGTAGCGCTCGTAAAAGTGTTACAGCTGCCTACTTTAACAACAGGATACATACTCGGACGGTCGATATTCCATGTTAAATCACTGAGCCGCCATGTTCGACCCGCATGGAATAATCAGACCAACACGGAACCAAGTCTGAATTCGTGCTGTTAATCGAAAGTTTGTTGCTCGTTTACGTATTAAAAAAGGGAAAGTTTCATTTGAATATGTACTCAGTTCACCAGCCTATACATGAGCCAGTAACCTCATAGGATCAAGCACAATGTCCTATTGGTATGTCCTATCGGTGATGACAATGTCGAACAGTTCTGCGGAGACCAAGCCGGATGCCCGTTTATACAACAAATTTTTGAATCACTCAGTCAGGCCACCATCAAAGTTATTTTGGATAGGAAAGCCTCCATGGGTCGTTTCGATATGTTTGCCAAATTTCGAAGACGACATTCGGTGGTTGTTGGCTTGCCTCAATCTAATCCAACACTCTCAAAGCTATTGCATGCGATTGAGGACCTGCATCTACAACTAATTACAATGGCTTAGAGTTCATTCGTCCCTTCTTTACGTGACACCTTTCAGACGGAAATGAAATGCTCTTTCGATTCCTATTCCAAGTGGTCCGACGTGTGATCAGGAGGGTGTCGCGCAGACCCCAAGCCGGTCATCAGACAACAAGCGTTCGCATAGGAAAGTAGAGAAACCTTTAATATGTGGCCTTCTTTCTCGGCGTGAACAGTCATATGATTCGATCTGTCATACGAACTTTAGGCAGCCCGGATGTCTGCCTCAGATGTCAGACGTCATGTCGCTTTCTCAGATGTACTCATCCAGGAAGCCATTGCCAGGTGGCAACAGGACCTCGCTTTTCTACATGATTGTGTTTGGTATCAAATGACCAGCCCTGAGCCACTGATTCTTCGACGGTCGGCTGGACGCGCGATGTTCTGTGTCACTCTGTGAATTCCAACGGCAGGCTGGATCAAGCTAGGCTGGGCTTACATGTGAGTGGCTGGCATAGTGCACCAGATCTGCAAGCTCTTCTCAGCCCTTTCACGTTGAGTGCATAAGCGAAGCACAATTGTGCCCAGTGGCAGCCTCATCTTCTCTGGATTTCTTCCCCCGCAATTTTCTACTTAGCATATCACCCAGACCTTGGATCAGTCGCTTCACCTCTCGTGGTCACCTTCTCCAGTACCTAGGTTGGTCAACATTGTCCGTGCCGGCTTCTTCAAGGTTCATTGTCGTACGAAAAATGAAGCTTGTACACACCGCCACACTGCAAATATGCGCTTTCAGCTATCCACCTCCGGTGCAATACGCCGTCCTCTCTCACACCTGGTCATCGCCCCAGGATGATGAGTGGCTTCACTATGACTCTGAAGACAACGAGAGCAATTCTTCACGGGAAGAGATAGTCCGCAAGGTCTGTCACTTGGCGAGGGTGCATGAGTTGGACTTCGTTTGGATCGACGCACTTTGCATCGACAAATCATCAAGTGCAGATGTGTCTACGACCATCAACCTGCTACCTAAATATCTTGAACGAGCTGCGATTTGTTTCGCATTTCTTGGTGATCTACCCTGCAGGGTTTCTGCTCCATGCAGAGTAACGTGGGCGCAATGCCGATTCTGGAGGCGGACGTGGACGCTGCAAGAGCTGGTTCTCCCATCCAGAGTCCAGTTTTACGATGCTTCATGGCATTTGAGAGGCGGGCACACGTCGCAAAACCTCCATCCCCTCATCTCTGGCATAACAGGCATCGATGAGGATGTCCTCTGTCACCAACGAAGCCTGCAGCATACTTCTGTTGCTCGAAAAATGTCGTGGGCTGCGTTCAAAGAAGCTTCGAATCCTGAAGATCTAGTGTATTCTCTCCTAGGCCTTTTTTACGTCCGTATGCCAACTATATACGGCGAGGGCAAGAGCAGAGCTTTCCGTCGTCTCCAGGAAGAGATCCTCCGACACACCAACGACTCAACACTGTTTGCTTGGACAAGCACGGTTGAGGAGGACAACCGAGGGGCTTTTGCAAATTCGCCTGACGAGTTCCTATCTTTCGGCCGGACAACACAAGCACGTGTACCAATTCACTTCGAAGGATTCGCCATCCCAACAAGTCGAGGCATAATAATATCGGGTCCGGTTTTGGACCAACCTCAAGGCACCTTGCTCTATCTCGGCCCTGAAAATGGCCACGGTCAAGGCGAAATTGAGCTTCATCATGGTATCTTGTTGAGATCCAGACCAGATGAGACCTTCGGTCGCATTTCCACCAGTCAGGTCAAAACATTGCCTTTGGCAAGCACAGCTACCACGATGCAGCTTACCTTGTTCAGTGGTCATGACGAGAAAGACAAGGCGCCTGAATTTGACGCCAATACAAGGTCTCTTGTCAGCACGGAGTTTGAAGCCGGCTTGTTCAACCTTCACCCGACGATTTCATCATCCGAACGCGAAGTCGCAAGTGGGCATAACGGATCAACGTGGCAGGTTGCTCAGAACCAAGCTAGACGAGACGACAGAGACTGGGAGAACGTTTCAAGCAAGACCTCAAACACGCTACAATCTCACGATACGGGCGATGAATACCAGTCAGTCTGCACGTCCCGATACCCCGACTATGACTGGGATCAAGCAGCGTCTATTGCGTCTACCCCAGCCACAATGGATTCCCTTTCTGATTCAGGGGTGACCCGTGACAATTACTACCATCGGATTCTTCAGAGCAACTCAAATATGGTCATAGCACCTTTGGCTCTACCGGGAAAGATCTTGGGGACGCGCTCAGGTGGTGTTGTGGACACTGCCAAAGAGCATCTTGCAGCACGTCTTTTGGACACTTTCAGTTCCTCTAGATATAGCATGGTCACCCCATTTCCCATCTCCTTGCGTCGGAGAAAGGGGCCGAAGGGAGCTAAACGCCGTTCCAACAGAACTCGGATGTTGGCTCACAAACTCTACAAAGGATTGCTAGAACTGGCATGTCCTTTCTTCCAACGAAATCCTGACAGAAACCCCACCTGTCTCGAGCACGAGCTCAAGAACATGTGCGATGTCCGAGATCATGTCTGGAAGCATCACCGCCTCCCTCCTTACTGTCCAACATGCAAAATGAGTTTCACGTTAGCAATCGAGAGGGATAGACACATTGTCCAACGAGCATGTCAGCTTCAAGACAATTTTCCCTATGAAGGTGTTTCTGAAGACCAGAAACAGCTCATTTCTCGGACACGAACGTCCCACGGCGAAAGAACACAGTGGCTTCTCATATGGGACATCCTATTTCCAAAAGACCATTACCCGTCTTCGCCGTATCTTCGGACGGGAATCGGTCTAAAGATCTCTCAGCTTCGAACTTTCTGGCACAAACACGGTTTGGAGCTGCTTTGGGATCCCCGAAGTGAAACGTTTCCGCACGATGTTTTGCATGATGAGCAAGATTTGCATCAGTTGTCATCGGATGTTCTAGCCCGAGCTATTCAAGCTTTATCGGCAGAATATCGACAGGATTCATCGATACGTTTGGTCGTAGATTAGGTGTCTACGTTTGCTGGCTGTGCGGGTCATGGATCAGAGCCTCAGGTAAGCCATCTACACGCTAGACTTGGGGCACACATTTGTATCAGTCTTCAACGGGGGTATACTCGATGTTGAAGTTCGTTCATGAGGTTGGTAAGCGCTTTGTAGACCGTGAACCAGATAGCGTCATCTAAAGGGGGTAGCTAGCTATTTTAATTTAGAATGTTTTCACTATCAATGAGTGGAACATGAATATTGACTTTGATGGCATTCTCATTACGTCTCCTGGGGGCACTTGTGTTCTTTTCGAATTACCATTTACTACATAAATCGCGATTTATCATTAAGGGTTCTCGATCTTCTTTGGTACAATGTCGTCAGATACGAGGTCTCCATGTCTTATACGGCCGTCCACTCGCATGGGATGGCATGACAGATGCTCTTCATTTCACTAACCTTTAGTTCTTCCGAAGAAAACCCTACTTACTCAATCGAATCTGGACTACATTCTGTTCTGAAAGTGTTCGATACGCAGTCCCAAAAGACGAGGTAGCTGATTAAACATATGAGTAGTTGTGCCCAGTCTAGTCCCCACTACCGAAATCGAGAAATACAAGGCCAACCAAACGAATGAAATAGGACATCTAAATCATACACGAAAGATTAATTTGTTCCAAAGAATAAGTCTTTGTCATCCACCCAGTCCTCCTCCCACATAGGCGTTGCATGCCCGTCTTCCTGTTTTGTGCCCTCCACCGTCGCATCATCGCCGACTAGGTGTTCAGTCACACGGCCTGTTTCCTGCATTGAAGTTTCATCCGTAATCCCTCCAAAGTGTGATGATGGAGACCACGTTGCTGTTGGGGTATCCGGTTGTATTTCGCAGGGCATCAATTGAGGAACCACATTGGTTGTATCCTGCTCCCATGTCTCTAGTTGTCCCAAGATACCAAAGTTGTACCCAAAGCTTATGCCAGATAAGGCGGTAGGTGTCGCTGTTGTGTCCCAGACATCTTCGAATGATGGTTCTGCTCCCCAAAAGGCAGAGTCTGAGGCACCATATTGCGGACTCTCAATACTTACTGTCGCGAGTGAGCCAAGAACCCTATCCACAAAGGTGGTGGTATCATTGGGTACACTCCCGGCAAAGTTGCGTTCAGTGTCTGTTCCACCTTGTATGGTCGTTGATAATGTGCTGTCGAGGCTGACCGTTGAGTGGAGATTGGACAAGGCCTGAGGTCCATTTCGGGACCAGAGCTCACGGACGGTGAGAATGATTTCCTCAACCTCACTACCAAGGTAAGGTGAGGATGGGGGCGACACATCGGGAAAGAGTATATCCCAAACAGCATACCACTGGTCAGCTTCGTTGCGGCCAGGACTCGTACGCGCGGAAAGTCTCCCCTTTTGCTCTTCCGAGATGCTTTCTTTGACGGCCTTTTCCTGAGGCCACATATTGGGAGGACACGATCTTCTTGTTATGTGCTCCTCGCACTCCTGGATGTCTGGAAATATTTCGAAACAGACAGGGCAATGGAAAGGATGTTTCCGGAAAATGTGTTGCTTGACGTCCTTCACCCTCTTCAGCTGAAAGTGAAGACAGTTCAGGTGCTTTATTCTGTCCAGCTTAAAAAAAGGGCAAGCCAATATGGGGTTTGGCTCCCCGTCTTCGTCAAGGCCATCAAGAGGTTTGTTTCTCTTGCGGACGGAATCAGTTTTCTTAGTCCTCTGCCCCGACACAACCTTCCTGGCTCTCTTCTCGACTTTTGAACTGGGTCGAGAGCTGGTAATAGTCGACGCGTTTGATTTTGCTTGCTTCCGTTTGCTTCCAGCATTGGTTGTGTAGGCTGCAAGGATCCTGAAATGCCTCGAGAGGGCATCGTCTTCTGGCCAAGATGGTGGGCTATTGCTTGCGCAACTTATTGTTGCCAGAAAATCATCGTTCTCGGGGCTCGAACACGAACTTGCCGAACTTTCCATTTCTGTGAGCAGTCATGAAATAGGTTAGCCAGTTCTTTGGAGGACCTCTCAAGAAACATGTGATCTGTTATGCAACAGAGACATGCCAATATTTTCATAAACGATTTGAACATGCTGGAATCATACTGACCCATGGTAGTCTCGTGGCTTGGGAGTTGACCGATATTTGATGTCGCGGCAGCATGCGTCGCTACTCCTGTCGTCTTTGGCTCGATGGGCAAACCCACTCGCCCAGATCGTATCGGGCTGTTTGATAGACGCAATCTCTTATTGGTTTTGGAGAAGTGTTTTGGTGGTTGAACATCTGCCTGAGCTAAGTCGATACGTCAGCATTGGAGTGGTAAGAATCGTTGCAATTCATACATGGCTGAAATGTTTTTCTTCCGTTGACCTCATCAGTCAAGTTTCTTGCGTCCGACCGGTGCATCAATGGCGACAGCCAGCGTACCACCCATGCCTTGGGACGGTTGATCACGTCAGGAATCTTACATCGAACATGATCACCAAGGCTTCCTTGATGGCGACGAACAGAGGAGCGGCCTAGCACGATCTGCACCGCTCCAAAATCCATGTCCACTGGGATTCTCAGACTGCGGTTTATGTAGTAAACTCGCTTAAAAGCTGGTCATGTGGAATCGATCATACCATCATCAGGCTCTGATCCAGACAGCCATGAAAATATTGCAGAAGACCAAGCGAGACGTTTGATGCGGCTTTCCAGAGAAGGAAATCTAAGCTCAGTTGCCTTGTTATCAACTACGGTGTGAGCTTCCGCCGGGTGCGGCGGCCTATCCTGTCATACTTCGGGGATTACTGCACCTGCACCTGCACCGCCTACTTGCTAGCCCCACACCATCAGCGCAGTGGCATGCACGATATTCTGGTTCGCAGTCACTGGAATTGGTCGCTTCTGCTCTGGAGGGGGGATCGGTCTACGTCACATGGTTTGGAAAGACGCGGTAATGTGTACAAACAAGGGACACGTCGTTGCTTCGTTTTTGCAGAATGTGATTCATACAAGTGTCATCCCCGAATGCTGATGGGTGGTGAAAGCAACAATTATCCCCTCAATGATCATGCCCCCTGTAAGCCAATGGTGCGCCATGCTCCCTCCAAACGCCGTCCAGGAATCAATGAGACAAGACCTTATCTTTTTGCGGCCCTTTCCCACTTCCTGTCAAAATCTCTCAGATAATCTTTTGCAGTTGCTTTCCTATCCCTGCCATCTCCCCCTGCCATCAGGCGACCTTGGATTGAAAGGGGTTCCTTCGTCCAGGCGTCAATCCGCGCAGCTCTTGTAGCACTGGCATCTTGAGATTGTCTGCATAAACCAATCAGTTCCAGGTCAACTCAGTTGTGGGGCAGGAGACTTACGCCGTGCCGCCGGTGCGAGCCGTTGTGTAAGTTTGGCTGGACATCGGTGGGTGCGTACGTAGCGCGTGACTTTGCTTCTTTGTATCCAAGAGCGATTGCGACAAACTTCACTGATTGTATAAGAGAATGAATCATATCACTGTATTTGATGCAGAAACAGTCGTTATATCTAGCAGAAGTTTTGATTCAATGTTCAAATAAACGCCTTTGAGTATGCCTCTCCTGCTTCAACTCGTTGCGCATGTTGGAGAGCCATCTTGCGGTTCTGCGCGCTCTTCAGTTGAACCCCATGAGCAGATTTCGCCGAAGAATCCCAGCATTACATCGCAAAATCGCCAAACAATAAGAGTCACTGGTTCAAGATCAGCACTGCGCCAGGAGCAGTCTGCCCATTTCATTCGAGCGTGGCCATACCCCAAGCATGCGAACACTGGCGACTCGAACCCGCGCAGTTGTGCGGGTGGGTTGTCCGCGTCGTGGTTCCTAACTACCAAAATAGTATTAGTCCCTGCGCAGTTGCGCGAAGTCCAAATTGCGCAGAATGGTACTTTATGAAGCCACGAACGTCCGATGTATGTGCTGGCAGCTGGCAATCAGACAGTCAATCGGATTGCGAACCAGGATTAAGGCGGCTGGTCTTCGCTGTGGAGCTGATGCCTGTTGACGCTGCCATGCGCTGTGTGCAATATGACGAGATCCCCATTTACGCACAGCAACGCGCCGCAGCGAACGCCCGACACATGATGGCAAGCATGAACTCTCCTAATCACGGGAATCCGTACCGAACGGAAGAACTATCTCCAGTCGGCTCAGATACCGTCGAAGTCTCCTTTATGAAGCCCGAAATCTGATGTTCTCCCGATCGGACGGTCCTCGTCAGACCCATTTATTGTTTATCCTCGCGTGTTCCAATCTACAAACCCTTGATGCATTGTAAAAGTACCGGACAGATCACCAATGAGGTGGTAGCTGCTGACCGAAGACGCCATTTCCCCTCAGAAGCGGAGAAAAAAGCCTTACGAATTGAGGCTCAGGGTGGGATAAGATGCCAAAATGTGTAAAAATACAGGCCCTAGCAAAGACCAGTAAAAAAGGCGAGGCAACCAAGCTAGAGAGAGGCAAAAGAGTGAGGAACGGCTGGCCTGCACGGCAGCAACAGGACCACACGTCGATGTAGGCCACGTTCGCCACGACTTGTCGCCCAACAGACGTGGTAAGGCGGTGTTCATATGGAACGGTTCCCGCAACGACTTGGTCTTTCACACTTGAACGAACCTATGATCACACGTGGGCCATATATCTCGTCTTTTGCCTCGAGCTGCTGAGGCCAATCGTCGGTTCAAGCTTCAGAATGGCAACGATGTGGGCTGGACCATTCGACGACCAAAACAACATGGAGACGACGCTCGCCAGTTCAACTCGATATGACGCGGGTGGGGGGGCGAGGCGCCCGGCAGTGCCAACAGCCTCGATCCTTGAATCCAATCCTCGTCTGAACAATAAGCAGTTCGTTGGAAGTCAAGGTTACAGCTGTGGCACAGCGGGCCATGACGATAATGCCAGCGAGACCTCGTTTTATTCTTGTTCCAACGTATCCTCCTCTATCACGTCGCCCGATAGCGAAGAAGTCCCAACAACGAGGGACCAGGTCCGCGCGTGCCACG